CACACCCAGACATAAATCAGCATACGCTCCTATATATATATAGATTGCTTCTTTCTTGGTCAGTCAAAACAAAATTCATGATCGAATGAGTTTTTATTGTTAATATAATTATTATATCTTCACAAACAAGTTATCTTACAATAATCATCGTTGTCATAATTTCCGCCACCTCCAAGTCCAAAATCATTATTTTTTTGGTGGTGTCACCATTTTTTTTGTTATCCTTATTATCATAACTATTGTTATTATAATTATCATCATCATTATAATGTAGTTATAATTATCGCTACTGTATCATCATTAAGGTGAAACCAGGAATAGAAAGGCTGACAAAAACCGGTGTTGTGTTCACGGATGGTTCACACGTGGACAACGTTGATGTGCTGGTTACAGCGACAGGATATCTTAAGAGTTTTCCGTTCATAGAAAGTAAAGAAATTAGAGGTAAGTTTTTAACTGAATATATGTATAAACATACATAACCTTAATAGGCCTACTAAACAATCGACTACATGATATTTATATTCTTGCTATCTGACCACTTTCATCATATGATTTCTTACTCCCATAGATTCTATGGAGGAACTTCAATTGTACAAGTACATCTTCAACCCAGATGTACCTACACTCGCTGCTATCGGTCTCTTCAAAGGTCTTGGGACTCAGGCTAATGCATATGAGATGCAGTCTCGTTACGTTGTGCGCATTTTCAGCGGGAAATTGAAATTACCATCGAAAAATGCGATGAGAAAAGACATCAAAGAAGTATCAGAAATTAACATAAGGGATCACGGCAGCATTCATTCATATGTGAGTTGATTATTATATGTTTATTTTACCTATCTGTTTCTTATAATATTATTTTGTAGCCAGCGACACTTTATAGAGCTCCCAGACGGTAGCCTTAAGGCCACTGTTTTGAGCAATCCCGTCTGTTGTTGGCTAGCATTGTTTCTTTTCTGTTTCTTTTTTATTGTTGCGTATCTGTAATGTGTTGAACTGAAGACGAAATAAATATATATATATATATGTATACATATGATATGATAAGCAATTACAAATTATTGGCTTGCGTCAGCATTAATAAAATGAGGCATCTGGCATCACTCCTTATACCGTACTTTTTACGATCAATATCAGTTTGGATCCAGGAATTCGAAATAGAGGGGCCCGTGGAGGGCCTTTCATAGATGGAGGGTCTAGACCACTTCAGCCTCACCATGGTTAGGGCCGAGGTTAAAAAAATGTATGATTATTGGCACTTCTAGATGGACAAAAATAGCATTCTCCATTTTTAAAGATAATTTAAAAAAAAACTAAGGAGGGGAGGGTGGGGGGGGGGGAAGTACATTTTTCAATACTGTATGTTCGATTACTTTATTTTCAGGTGCTTTGGGTGCCGTACATGCTTGACCTCGCACGGCGCATTGGCGCTCTACCAAGTTTCTGGAGTTACATATTCACGAGCCCAAGAATTGCGATGAAGCTTGCTTTTGGCACGTTGTATCCGTACATATTCCGTATTCAAGGGCCACAC